TTTTTTTTTTTTTTTTTTTTTTTTTTTTTTTTTTTTTTTTTTTTTTTTTTTTTTTTTTTTTTTTTTTTTTTTGTTTGTGATGCTATTATTTTATTTTATTTATTTGTATTTTTTTTACGTTGGGTGAAATATTGAAATTCAAATTTAGAAATTATGTTGTATTATTGAAATATAATTTTTTTAAAAAAAATTACGTATATTTGATTATGGAATATTATTGTTGATTTTTATAATTTTTTAAAAATAGTTATATTGTAATTTTTTTTAATACGAATTGTTATTAAATTCCGCTATTCCGCTCCCACGATATCTTTCCGGAGAGAAAACACAAAATGGGACCCACTTTAGAGACACGTGGTAATAATTGAATGGGTGAATTAGAGGTGTCAGCTGTCGATGTCCATCCGACGTCGTTTCAGTCGGGTACATACACTGCACCTGCACCACAAAAAAGTGGTCGGCGGCCACGTGATTCAGACAGATGCCACGTATCCACAAATCGAAGGAAATGTCTTTTTCTAATTTTTTTAGACTTTTTTGGAATTATATTTAGTTAGTTGTGAATTTCCGATTTCAGAAGAGAAATATATATTCATTACCTTAGATTCATCGTTATGTTTGTTGTTTTTTTTAAAAAAAAAAAATTAAACATTTAGTAAAAATAAAAATGTATTTTCAAATGTCACATTTTAGCAATGGTAATTTTAATCTCTTAAATATAGATTTTATCCAATTGGTTATTTTAAAATTTATATAATTATCATATTTCAATACCTTTTCAACAATTATAATTATAATAATTATCCCTTAGATTAAAATTATCATATTTTTCCAAATATAATCATTTTTATTTCAATTTTCGAGTTCATAGTTATAATCTCCAAATAAAAATTAGGATGGGTTTAAAATTAGCCTATTAATTTGATATAGTGCACTTGTGGACACTCCAGTAAAGAAAAAGTACATGAAAGAACTGAGACTACATCCAAATTAGAGCGATCATGAGAATAGAACGACTAACAAAATCTTAAAAGAATTGAAAGTCACTACTTATACGAGGAACATGCACCTTCATTTTCAGTGGCTCAACCATAAAAATTTTCATGGTTAAACATATTTTATTTAGAGCATCATAGGTTAAGAATGATGACAAAACATATTGGAATAACTTGTGTTGGTCTATGTAGATAGTTTTCACTATTAAAAATAAGGAATATATAACGTGACATGTTACAAGGAGTAGATTCCGAATCCGAGTTTTGAATCCCGAACATGGATCGCTACATCACTTGCGTTGATTGAAAGGGTATATTTATTCACACATATGTGTGTGTAATAAATAAAAGTATATGGCATAATTTCCAAAGAAAGATTGTTGGGCTTTTTCCTCTTGAAGAGGAAGGTCCACTCGCGGGCCCAAAGGGCCGACCCAATCCAGTAGAAAAGATTCGGGTTAGGTCAAAGCTACGTGGGTCGGGTTTTTTGATACCCAATTACTTCAAACCCTTCAAACCCTAAACCCTGTCAATATAAGGGCTGCCGCCTACATTTCACCCCTCTTTGGACGGAAGAAGAATCCGAAGGCTTCATCGTCGAATCCGACTAAATGGTAATGGCGAACTTACTTTTGTAAACTCTATCTCTTCCCTTTCTGCATGATTGTTGTTGAATTTGGAATTTTAGTGCGTAAATCGATTTGTTTGTTGATCGGTAATTAGGGTAAGGGAACGGGAAGTTTCGGTAAGAGGAGGAACAAGACCCACACTCTCTGCGTTAGGTGTGGCCGCCGCAGCTTCCACCTGCAGAAGAGTCGATGCTCTGCCTGTGCATTTCCAGCCGCCCGTAAGCGTACATGTAAGTTCGCTTAATCAATTTGTATTTGTTTTTGGTTGTTTCATCATTGCGCAATTAAACCTCTTTTTATATGCTGAGCTTAATTTATCGAATCGATTAGAAGTGATAACCATAGATTCATCATTATCGACCCAGATAGCAGTAGATTCGTTATGCGTACCCTAATCTGTTTGAGTGAATATCATTTACTCTTGGGTCTTCAATTTTGGTCTAGTTGTTCCATTTTCTTATGCGGGTTTTGGATTTAGATAACTGGAGCGTGAAGGCGATCCGAAGGAAGACCACTGGAACTGGGCGGATGAGATACATGCGTCATGTTCCTCGCAGATTCAAGAGTGGTTTCAGAGAAGGTTCTATTCTAAGTTGTATATTTCTTGATTTTTCTGCTTATCAACTGATTTTTGGGGCATTTTGTGATTTTAATTACCTTTGGATTTGGTGATTAGGTACTCAAGCAGCGCCAAGGAGCAAAGGAGCAGCCGCATCAGCCTAAGACATTAAAGGTTACTTGTGGCACAACTTGGTACCATATTTATAGGTTCTAGGAGAAGTTTGTTATTTTTGGGACCAGAATCTATAAGAATTTTGTTTTATGATGTTAACACCTTCAATACTGAAACTTATTTTTATTTCTTACTGTATTGTTTATGGAATTTTTTGTTGTTGTTTTGAGACCACTTTCACCTTTGGTTAATCTATGTCTTGAGCTATATACATCTAATCATTGTTGGAGTTTTTGCTGGTAGATATTGTTACCCTGAAGTCAGGGTAGAATCAGTTAGTAAGAAATTTGAGCATTAAATCATGTGTTAATGAGTTGTTCCTCACTCATATAGATATATATATAAGAGTAGGGTTGTTAATCCAGAATAACTCGGCAAGTTGCTATTCTTTTTTGGAATTGTTAGTGGTAGGGGTATGACTTGGTTTGTTACAATTACTACATAACTAAGAAACCACTCGTTAGGAGATGTAGAGGCCGACTCAAGGTAAGGGGGCATTGTAAAGCATCAAAACTAAGAGAAAAGACTGTCATCTTTTGGGATCGCAGGAAGGGAAAATTACTATAGGCTTTCGAAACAAGAAATGAAGAAAGATGATGTTAGGATGATGAGTTTAGGATGATGAGTTTGAAGAATGTGTAAATGCAAGAGAGGAATCTCATAGTATCACAATTTTAATTTGAAATGTGTTTTGAACTTGTGCCATTAAGGAAGAGAATGAGTCTTTTATGTTGGTTTGGTTCTTTCTCCTTCCCCTTTGGATCAATAGGTGAAGTTATTGGATTATTCCATTGACCTTGGTGTCTTTTCTTCTCGGAATCTACTTTATTGCTGCCTCTTCAAGATCTTTTTATTTGTTGTCTTTCAGATTCTTGTGTTTGACCTAATTGTACAAGTAGATTAATATATAGATAACGAACTCTCAATTGAAAAGCATTAGAGTAAATTTGTATGGTCTGGCTGTTTCATAGTAACCATATGTATAGTTTGAAGTCTTCAAATATTTAATAAGAAAAATAGATATGCTAAATATAAAATAGTGATATATTAAATATTAAGGTAATGTATATTAGAAACATTAAATGTATGCCTGAATTCTGAATTTCGAAATTGAAGTTAGTTGAATATAGATTGAAATACTTTATGATGATTTAAATAATATTTTAAATTTAAAAAATGTTATCTCAAAGTCTATTAAAACTTGAGACTTTCACAAGTTAAAAGGGTTGAGATTTAATCGAGTGGATCTGAAAAAAAGTCTGACCATAATTTTTTTTTAGATATTTATTGGATGCAATATTTGAACTTTCAATTCTTTTTTAATTCTATATAAAATTTAATGGATTGGAATGCTTGTACATGAATGAAGTATCTATTTTTAGCAAATTGTCTCCCCTCCAAAATTAATTATATGATTTCAATATTTAATGATAATTTTGTAGCACTAGAAAAAGTCTAAAAAAACCTCCAACTTATTATTGTTTTTTTTTTAAATACTCCTATGTTGGATAATTTTGGATAATTTTGGACAAAAACAGTTAGCAGTTCATGCTAAAAAAAACCTCTAACTTATTATTATTATTTTTTTAATTACTCCTATGGATAATTTTGGAGGAAAACGGTTAGCATTTCATTCTAAAAAAAACCTCCAATTTATTTTTTATTTTTTTTTTAAATACTCTTGGATAATTTTGGAGAAAACCGTTAGCATTTTATTTCAATTAAAAAATATTTGTAAATTTTTGAAAGTGTTCAAAAAATTCCCTTCATTAAACATTGAATAATTTTTTAAAATAAAATACTAATAGTTTTGATTATTTAAAAGTATTTCTTTTTATAGATTATAAATAATTTAAGGTGTTTGAATGCAGCGATGAAATGAAATAATATAGGATGCAGCAGTTGTAGCGTTTATAAATAGGAACCCGGGCAACTGCCAAATTCATTCCCATTCCCACATTTTCCAAATTCAGGGTTTCTGTTTCTGGTTCCCTCTGTCATGGCTACGATAGAAAAATGCAAAT